ATCAAGATAGAGTTAAACTGTCTGTTTTCTCATCAATGTTTTTGAGAGCTTTACGTATTTGTAGTCCAGAGTTCATAGATGAAGAAATATCCAAAATTTATGAAATAGCCAATGATCTGAAATACCCGAGAAATGTAATTGATAAATCAACCTTATTCATCTAAAAATATGTTGGTTCTCCCTTACCATGAAAACTTGGTTGATATGCCTTCTCTTCTTAAGACTTTTAATATTAAAGTTGTATTTAAAAATCTTGATACAGTAAAAAAAACTTTTGATAAAGAATTCCCCCCAAAATGCTGATTGATGTGTCTATAAGATTCCTTGTAAAATTTGCGATAAAGTTTATTACGGTCAAACTGGTAAAAATCTCGAACTAAGATTAAAACAACATAAATATAGGATAAGAACTGGACAAGATTCCAATGCTCTATTTATTCATGTGAGAGATTTTAACCATCCAATTGATTTTCAATGTTGAGAAAGTAGTATCAAGCAAGTCCATGGTCGACAGGAATATAATTGAATCTTGTTTCATAAAAAGCAGTTTTGAAAGTAATATGAATATTTCCTTTGGTTTATATAAATTAGATTCATTGATAATTAATACAAATTTGGAAGAGTTCTAAATAATACATTGGACAAACTAATAAACATTATTCTTGGGTAGAAATATTGTTTGAAAGTAGTGAGAAATTTCCTTGTTTACATAAATAATTCATTTTCCTTAATTTATGAGTAGGTTAATTGTCACTTAGGAAATTCCTTATTTTTGGGTAGAATTTTGTTGTGGATGTTAGCCCTTTAGTTGCCTTCCTACTGATGTTTCTTTCATAGAGTCCTATGACAAGTGGTAGTGTAGTGTGTTTTGTTTGGATTGACGTGGTGTGGTTTAGCCTAATTGCCTTCTTTGATGTATAATTCATATTCTTAATTAGTATAGAATAGCTTGATATTTATATATTTATCATAGGTATATATTTGATATTATATATATATATATATAATATATATATATATATATATTATATAATATTAATATATATAATATAATATATATATATATATATATATATATATATAATATATATATATATATGTTATATATATAAATATATATATATATATATATATATAATATATATATAAATATATATAATATATATATATATATATATATATATATATATATATATATAATATATATATATAAATATATATATATATATATATATATATATATATATATATTATTATATATATATATATATATATATGATATATATAGGGGTGGTTTAAAAATGTAGTGTTAGAGTGTTCAGCAGAAGTTTGTGGTTACAGGAAAGTGGGTGCAGGAGGGAAGAGGAGCGATTGGTGGAATGATAATGTAAAGAGAGTAGTAAGGGAGAAAAAATTAGCATATGAGAAGTTTTTTACAAAGTAGAAGTGATGCAAGGAGGAAGAGTATATGGAGAAAAAGGGAGAGGTTAAGAGAATGGTGAAGCAATGTAAAAAGAGAGCAAATGAGAGAGTGGGTGAGATGTTATCAACAAATTTTGTTGAAAATAAGAAAAAGTTTTGGAGTGAGATTAACAAGTTAAGAAAGCCTAGAGAACAAATGGATTTGTCAGTTAAAAATAGGAGAGGAGAGTTATTAAATGGAGAGTTAGAGGTATTGGGAAGATGGAGGGAATATTTGAGGAATTGTTAAATGTTGATGAAGATAGGGAAGCTGTGATTTCGTGTATAGGACAAGGAGGAATAACATCTTGTAGGAGTGAGGAAGAGCCAGTTGTGAATGTGGGGGAAGTTCGTGAGGCAGTAGGTAAAATGAAAGGGGGTAAGGCAGCCGGATGATGGGATAAAGATAGAAATGTTAAAAGCAGGTGGGATATAGTTTTGGAGTGGTTGGTGCAATTATTTAATAAATGTATGGAAGAGGTAAGGTACCTAGGGATTGGCAGAGAGCATGCATAGTTCCATTGTATAAAGGCAAAGGGGATAAAAGAGAGTGCAAAAATTATAGGGGGATAAGTCTGTTGAGTATACCTGGCAAAGTGTATGGTAGAGTTATTATTGAAAGAATTAAGAGTAAGACGGAGAATAGGATAGCAGATGAACAAGGAGGCTTTAGGAAAGGTAGGGGGGGTGTGGACCAAGTGTTTACAGTGAAACATATAAGTGACCAGTATTTAGATAAGGCTAAAGAGGTCTTTGTGGCATGTATGGATTTGGAAAAGGCGTATGACAGGGTGGATAGGGGGGCAATGTGGCAGATGGTGCAAGTGTATGGTGTAGGAGGTAGGTTACTGAAAGCAGTCAAGAGTTTTTACGAGGATAGTGAGGCTCAAGTTAGAGTATGTAGGAAAGAGGGAAATTTTTTCCCAGTAAAAGTAGGCCTTAGACAAGGATGTGTGATGTCACCGTGGTTGCTTAATATATTTATAGATGGGGTTGTAAGAGAAGTAAATGCGAGGGTCTTGGCAAGAGGCGTGGAGTTGAAAGATAAAGAATCACACACAAAGTTGGAGTTGTCACAGCTGCTCTTTGCTGATGACACTGTGCTCTTGGGAGATTCTGAAGAGAAGTTGCAGAGATTGGTGGATGAATTTGGTAGGGTGTGCAAAAGAAGAAAATTAAAGGTGAATACAGGAAAGAGTAAGGTTATGAGGATAACAAAAAGATTAGGTGATGAAAGATTGAATATCAGATTGGAGGGAGAGAGTATGGAGGAGGTGAATGTATTCAGATATTTGGGAGTGGACGTGTCAGCGGATGGGTCTATGAAAGATGAGGTGAATCATAGAATTGATGAGGGGAAAAGAGTGAGTGGTGCACTTAGGAGTCTGTGGAGACAAAGAACTTTGTCCTTGGAGGCAAAGAGGGGAATGTATGAGAGTATAGTTTTACCAACGCTCTTATATGGGTGTGAAGCATGGGTGATGAATGTTGCAGCGAGGAGAAGGCTGGAGGCAGTGGAGATGTCATGTCTGAGGTCAATGTGTGGTGTGAATATAATGCAGAGAATTCGTAGTTTGGAAGTTAGGAGGAGGTGCGGGATTACCAAAACTGTTGTCCAGAGGGCTGAGGAAGGGTTGTTGAGGTGGTTCGGACATGTAGAGAGAATGGAGCGAAACAGAATGACTTCAAGAGTGTATCAGTCTGTAGTGGAAGGAAGGCGGGGTAGGGGTCGGCCTAGGAAAGGTTGGAGAGAGGGGGTAAAGGAGGTTTTGTGTGCGAGGGGCTTGGACTTCCAGCAGGCATGCGTGAGCGTGTTTGATAGGAGTGAATGGAAACAAATGGTTTTTAATACTTGACGTGCTGTTGGAGTGTGAGCAAAGTAACATTTATGAAGGGATTCAGCGAAACCGGCAGGCCGGACTTGAGTCCTGGAGATGGGAAGTACAGTGCCTGCACTCTGAAGGAGGGGTGTTAATGTTGCAGTTTAAAAACTGTAGTGTAAAGCACCCTTCTGGCAAGACAGTGATGGAGTGAATGATGGTGGAAGTTTTTCTTTTTCGGGTCACCCTGCCTTGGTGGGAATCGGCCAGTGTGATAATAAAAAAATAATAAAATATATGTATATATATATATATATATATATATATATATATATATATATATATATATATATATATATATATATATATATATATATGTATATATTTATATATATATATATATATATATATATATATATATATATAATATATATATATATATATATATATATATATATATATATATATATATATATATATATATATATTGCGCCGAACAGGAAAAACTTCCGAGTTTTGCTTAAATATGCAAAAAGCCAATGTGAAAAAAATTCTGAAATTCCAAGAGCTTTCGTGATTTCTCACCTTATCAAGGAACTAAAGGAACTGTAAAAAAAACAGCAGTAACAGCCTGGTTGATCAGACCCTGATTCACCGGGAGGCCTGATCGTGGACCGGGCCGCGGGGGCGTTGATCCCCGGAATACCCTCCAGGTAGCAGAATACCTATAAGGCTGAGAGTCAAGGACCTGTCACTGAGAGTCAAGGACCTGTCACTGAGAGTCAAGGACCTGTCACTGAGAGTCAAGGACCTGTCACTGAGAGTCAAGGACCTGTCACTGAGAGTCAAGGACCTGTCACTCATTAAATTCTTACCAAATTTTATAAATTATAAATGACTAATCTGTATAATTTGTATAACTGACGGCTATTTAATTATATTTCTCTCGACCATAGACCAGCTTGATGCACCTTTCTCGTCTTTTTTTAAATCAATTGTGTTAATATTTCTTATATAAATAAAGAAACTAGGCTCTTGTTCGGTTTTACTGCTGTGTTTATGTTCTTTTAATCTTAGTTCAAGCCTTTCCAATTTCATTATAATTATTTTTTTTTACGTTTTTATAGAGGATCTTTTAGAGGCAACCATCACCATTTTTTCGTGAATTTCTGATCATATGTTTCATTTTCTGTATCAAGATTTTTAATACAACTTTGATTTTAAAATTATTAAGTACAGGAGGCAGTAGAAGCAGTAAAGGTGTTAAAACGATGTCATCAGTCCATCATACACTAGGATGTAGTTCTGAGGTGGTTAGTCCCTCAACCTGGAGAAGAGTTCGGGTTATGAAGCAGAACTCTTTGCTAGGCTGAGGGACTGACCACCTCAAATGTACATCTTCCAGGGTGATGGATTGTTTATATAGTCTTTATATCTCTACTGCTCTTACTGCCTCCTTTATATTTGACTGAAGAAACCTTCTGTGTAGCTGAAGCCTCTCTGAATAAAGATACTTAACTGTTACACCTGTGTCTTACTTATCAACTTGTATGTATTCGATAACATTATTATATTCTCACCTTCAATAATGTTAATACCTATAACAATGTTAACTCCAACAACAAAGTGAACAATAATGTTAATACCTATAACAATGTTAACTCCAACAACAAAATGAACAATAACGTTATATGAGTGACATCAACAATAACAACTTACCGAGGCTGCACAAGTTGTAAGAGGCTGTCAGAAGTGGTGGTTTTGTCAGCATGGAAGTAGTGGCGACGCAGTGTTAGGTATTTACAGAGGTGGTGGGTGAGAGCAAGCAGCAGGTCAGGTAGGTCAGGCAGGTCACCAGGGTCATCATCGATATGAATGCGCACTTCGCACGACCTGAGGTATGGTAGGAGAGCCACGTAGCTCCTCACACGATTATAATCACTTACGACAATTGTTTTATCTGTACTAAAGAAGTGAGTTATTTCTTTGACCGTTACTGGAGATATCTTAGTGTTCTGAAGAAGGTAGAGCCAGTGATTGTTGCCTTCCATACCAGACTCGTGCAGGAGATGAACCACTTCCCTCTCAATTTCCTCAGGTAACTGGTCCAGTAACAAGTGCAGCAGCCCAGCCACATGTATCAGAACATTCTGGTACTTATTCATGTCTGTCTTGGTTACTCTGATGTTGTGTTCTAACACTTTCCTGATACTGACAGGTGAGGCAGGTGTAGGTGTGGTTGGTGGAGGACGTGCTAGTGCAGGTGAGTCGAGAGGAGGTGAGGCTAGTGCAGGTGAAATTGGTGAAGGTGGCGCTGGAGTAGACGATGCTGGTGTAGATGGCACTGGCGGTGATGCTGGTGTAGATGGCACTGGTGGTGATGCTGGTGTAGATGGCACTGGTGGTGATACTGGTGTAGATGGCACTGGTGGTGATGCTGGTGTAGGTGGCACTGGTGGTGATGCTGGTGTAGATGACACTGGTGGTGGTGCAGGTGTAGATTGGACTGGTGGTAATGCTGGTGTAGATGACACTGGTGGTGATGCTGGTGTAAATGACACTGGTGGTGGTGGTGTAGGTGTAGATAGAACTGATGGTGGCACAGGTGTAGACGACACTGGTGGTGGTACAGGTGTAGATGACACTGGTGGTGATGCTGGTGTAGATGGCACTGGTGGTGGTACAGGTGTAGATGACACTGGTGGTGATGCTGGTGTAAATGACACTGGTGGTGGTGGTGTAGGTGTAGATAGAACTGATGGTGGCACAGGTGTAGACGACACTGGTGGTGGTACAGGTGTAGATGACACTGGTGGTGATGCTGGTGTAGATGGCACTGGTGGTGGTACAGGTGTAGATGACACTGGTGGTGATGCTGGTGTAAATGACACTGGTGGTGGTGGTGTAGGTGTAGATGGAACTGGTGGTGGCACAGGTGTAGACGACACTGGTGGTGGTACAGGTGTAGATGACACTGGTGGTGATGCTGGTGTAGATGGCACTGGTGGTGGTACAGGTGTAGATGACACTGGTGGTGATGCTGGTGTAAATGACACTGGTGGTGGTGGTGTAGGTGTAGATAGAACTGATGGTGGCACAGGTGTAGACGACACTGGTGGTGGTACAGGTGTAGATGACACTGGTGGTGATGCTGGTGTAGATGGCACTGGTGGTGGTACAGGTGTAGATGACACTGGTGGTGATGCTGGTGTAAATGACACTGGTGGTGGTGGTGTAGGTGTAGATAGAACTGATGGTGGCACAGGTGTAGACGACACTGGTGGTGGCACAGGTGTAGATGACACTGGTGGTGGTACAGGTGTAGATGACACTGTTGGTGGTGTAGGTGTAGATGACACTGGTGGTGGTGCAGGTGTAGATGACACTGGTGGTGGTGTAGGTGTAGATGACACTGGTGGTGGTGCAGGTGTAGATGACACTGGTGGTGGTGTAGGTGTAGATGACACTGGTGGTGGTGTAGGTGTAGATGACACTGGTGGTGGTGTAGGTGTAGATGACACTGTTGGTGGTGTAGGTGTAGATGACACTGTTGGTGGTGTAGGTGTAGATGACACTGTTGGTGGTGTAGGTGTAGATGACACTGTTGGTGGTGTAGGTGTAGATGACACTGGTGGTGGCACAGGTGTAGATGACACTGGTGGTGGTGTAGGTGTAGATGACACTGGTGGTGGTGCAGGTGTAGATGACACTGGTGGTGGTGTAGGTGTAGATGACACTGTTGGTGGTGTAGGTGTAGATGACACTGTTGGTGGTGTAGGTGTAGATGACACTGTTGGTGGTGTAGGTGTAGATGACACTGTTGGTGGTGTAGGTGTAGATGACACTGTTGGTGGTGTAGGTGTAGATGATACTGTTGGTGGTGTAGGTGTAGATGACACTGTTGGTGGTGTAGGTGTAGATGATACTGTTGGTGGTGTAGGTGTAGATGATACTGGTTTAGGTGATGGTGATATAAGAGTTGTAGGTGAGGTTAGTGAAAGTAATGGTAATGGTGCTGGTGTAGGTGAGGTTGGCGTAGATGAAGGTTGAGCAAGTGATGGTGATACAGTTGTCACAGGTGGTTGGGTAGACACAGGTAGTGTAGGTGATGGTGATACAGTTGTCACAGGTGGTTGGGTAGACACAGGTATTGTAGATGATGGTGATACAGTTGTCACAGGTGGTTGGGTAGACACAGGTAGTGTAGGTGATGGTGATACAGTTGTCACAGGTGGTTGGGTAGACACAGGTATTGTAGATGATGGTGATACAGTTGTCACAGGTGGTTGGGTAGACACAGGTAGTGTAGGTGATGGTGATACAGTTGTCACAGGTGGTTGAGTAGACACAGGTAGTGTAGGTGATGGTGATACAGCTGTCACAGGTGGTTGAGTAGACACAGGTATTGTAGGTGATGGTGATACAGTTGTCACAGGTGGTTGGGTAGACACAGGTGGTGTAGGTGATGGTGATGCAGTTGTCACAGGTGGTTGAGTAGACACAGGTAGTGTAGGTGATGGTGATACAGCTGTCACAGGTGGGTGAGTAGACACAGGTGGTGTAGGTGATGGTGATGCAGTTGTCACAGGTGGTTGAGTAGATGCAGATAGTGTAGGTGATGGTGATACAGTTGTCACAGGTTTTTGAGTAGACACAGGTATTGTAGGTGATGGAGATACAGTTGTCACAGGTGGTTGGGTAGACACAGGTGGTGTAGGTGATGGTGATGCAGTTGTCACAGGTGGTTGGGTAGACACAGGTATTGTAGGTGAAGGTGATGTAGTTGTCACAGGTGGCTGGGTAGACACAGGTGGTGTAGGTGATGGTGATACAGTTGTCACAGGTGGTTGGTTAGAGACAGATGGTGTAGGAGATGGTGATACAGCTGTCACAGGTGGTTGGGTAGACGCAGGTGGTGTTGGGTGCTGGGTGTACAAGACTGGGAGTGCTGAAGAGTGTAGCTGGTGTCTGAGTGTCATCACAATATGCAGAGCACTGAAGTAGTCTTGGATTCCCTTGTGTGGTGCAAAGTAGCGTTCCTCGATGCCTTGCCAAGTCCATATTGGCTTCAAACTCAAGAAAGCAGACAGCATCTCATTATAAGGTATATGATATTTGTTACAAGCAGATATTACTTCTTCTACACTCTCTTCATCAAGACTCAACTGGTCACGTGAGAGACTCTTTAGTGATGTCGCGTATATTATCTTCAATATTTCTTCAACACTGTTTTGGAGGACACTTTTATTCGTCGCCTTTGTAATTGAACTGTCCGCTAATCTCTCTAATAACTTACTTTGACACATATGATGCATTTTATGGTAGAGTTCTGTATGTGTTATGGTTGCTATGTTCAGCTCATCAGGTTCTTGGTCCCAGATATAAACAAAAAATGTTAAATTCATTGGTAAACGCAAGTGTTCGTGAAGATCTTCAACTTCCATCACCTTATTTACCAGTTTATCAGTGCTTCTGTTGCTGTTGGTCAACTTAGTTATCTCCTGGTGAGTCCGACGCATAAATTCTTCTATGTGTTCTTCCTTTATGCCTCGTAGTTCAGCATTAGTCACATCATAATCTTCAGGGATCGTCATGCTGAACATTTCTACTGCTTCAGGTCTTGAGGTACACATAAATGTTGTGGTAATCGAGTTTTGGAATTCCAGTAAAAGACTTTTGACTAATGTTCTAGAGTTGTTATTGAGTTCATCCAGACCGTCAACGAGTATTATTACCTTACAAAGCTTAATAATTCTAGGCAGAATATTTCTGAATTTTGCTGAAACATCTGGTATGAGTCGGTCTAGAAGATCCTGGAAGCTGTTAATGGCTGGGTCCCTGCACTGTACCCACAGTAAGAGATCATAATTATCTAAACTTTTCATATTACCTTGACCACCTTGTATCCATTCCTCAGTTACTAGCTTCACTAGAGTGGTCTTGCCACTGCCTGCCACACCTTCCAGCAGCAGTATTTGAGGTCGTGCAGAGGAACCTTGTTGTTGTGTGCCAGAGCTCACACCTGATGCCACACATGTTGTCTGGACAAGTGTGAGAAGGTCTCCATAATCTACATGCTTAGTTTTACCTCTGTATTTTCTTTGTTTAACTTTAATATCGACAAAAATTTTGTCTACTTTCAGTTGAAAGTCACTGGTGATAAAAGACACTGGGTTAACATAAGTGATTTCTTGTAAGATCTTCTTCAGATTATTACAGCTGTCATTAATGATAATCTGTTTGATATCATCACTACAATATTTTATTATGTCTTCCTCTCCGAGAATCTCATTCATGATGTAGTCCAGGTCATCATTCATCTTCTTGATCTTCTCATTTACTTCAGTCTCGTCCTTCCCATACCTCTCTCCAGATGTCTTAAGACAACCAGTTAACACCTCCCGAAGCTGTCTTATATTTTCAAAATAATCTTCATCATGAACTGCAAGTGGACCGTGAAGAGCATCGTTCCTTAAGTTCTTTACAGCAGTGATATAATACTCCATTTCCGTACTGGGAGTGATCCACTTTGGATCATTGAAAGAAGCAACATTCTCACACGCTAACTTAATGCTTAGACACAATAGTGGAACATCAAACCCGGCTCCATCTGCACTTTCATTAATCAGTTTCTTTTGTGTTTTGTTAAACCTTCTTTGATTCCTTGAGAGTTTTAAGTAATTGGCTGATGATGTTTGTTTCAAGGTGTTGAGGTAATGATCAAGTGTTGTAGCAGCAGGTTTATCTGGGGTTCCCCAGCAGAAAGTGTTATGTAACACTCGTCTACCGCACTCACTTAAAGCTTTCATGAATCTGAAGCCATTATTTTCCATAGTTACTGTAGCCATGAGATAACAGAAGAAAGATTATGTTAATGTTGGTGACGGTGCTCCAGAGAGTTGAGCAGAAGATCAAGAATGCTGGAAATATGAAGACATGACTGAAACATGTATAAAATTACAAGTATCAGCTTAAATATGTATATAACAGGTGAAAGACTGAAACATGTTTAACATTACAAGTATGAGACTGGGAAATGTATAATACATATATGTCGTGCCGAATAGGTAAGACCTGCGATTTTGGCTTAATTAGCAACGCGGAATTTTGTTTATGCAAAAATTTCTCAAAAATCATTAAAAACACAACGAAAAAAATATATTTCATTGTATTTGTTTATTAAATTATTGTAAACTTATCTAAAATATATTTAGTTCGATTAGGCTAAATTAAATTGCGGTTGTTATAATATGGTTAGGTCCGTTTTCTAAGGGTCATAGGGTACAAAATTATTCATTTTAACATTAACATAAATGAAAAAATATATCTTTAAACGTGTAAGAGAAAAATTTAGAAAGGACTTCATTTTAAATGAGTCATTGCTAACTGACCAGTTTTAACTATACACCAAAAAGGGAGTAGAATGAAACTAGCTCAGAGGCACCCACACCACCTTATGTCCCCGGATGATGGTAAAACACCTAGCTTGCTTGGGTGCGTCATTCTTGTAGGATTGCGTGGTCCTATAGGTTAGAGCACTTTTGCTCACAATGAGGCTGGCCAAAGCAGCATGGGTTCGAGTCCTTGGCTAGTCGCAAGCTGGCTACATTGCGGACCTGGAGAGTGTACAAAGAACTATCACGGTACACATAAGTAAGACAAGGCACCAAAATTACTGGGAACGGTTGAAGGTCCTTGATTGTATTCCCTGGAACGCAGGCAAGAGAGATACATGATAATATACACTTAGAAGGTCCTGGTGGGATTGGTACCAAACCTGCACACGAAAATCACTCCATCTGAAAGCAGAAGACTCGGCAGGAGATGCAACTTTTCTCCGATGTAAAGCAGGGGCGCCACGAGTACACTGAGAGACAACACAATAAGTGTCCGGGGCCCAAGACAGTTCAATTGCCTCCCAGCATACATAAGGAGGATTACCAATAGACATAAGATCATAAGAAATAAGGAACACTGCAACAGGTCCACTGGTCTATGCGAGGCAGCTCCAACTCTCCCCACCGGCTCAAGCCAATGCCTTGACCTAGTGAGGTCAGACACGTCACTTAAGGGAGGAGCACTACGTCCGACCTAGTAGCTTGTCAGGTTCACACACCCACCCACACCCACTCATAAGAACATAAGAAAGAAGGAACACCGCAGCAGGCCCACTGACCCACGCGAAGCAGGTCCATGTCCCCCCCCCCGGATTAGCGCAATGACTCATCTAGTCAGGTCACTTCCACTTAAGGAAGGAGCACGGCATCAGACCTGGTAGCACAAGCTAATCAGGTCCAACTCACACCCACCCACATCCACTCATGTATTTATCTAACCTATTCTTAAAACTACATAACGTTTTAGCCTCAATAACTGTACTCGAGACTTTGTTCCACTCATTCCACAACTCTATTACCAAGCCAGTGCTTGCCTATATCCTTCCTGAATCTGAATTTTTCCAACTTGAAACCATTGCTGCGAGTCCTGTCTTGGCTGGAAATTTTCAGCACGCTATGTACATCCCCTTTATTTATTCCTGTTTTCCATTTATACACCTCTATCATATCCCCCCTAATTCTACGCCTTTCGAGAGAGTGCAGATTCAGGGCCCTCAGTCTATCCTCATAGGGAAGATTTCTGATACATGGGATCATCTTTGTCATCCTCCTCTGTACGTTTTCCAGAGCATTTATATCCATTCTGTAATACGGTGACCAGAACTGAGCAGCATAGTCTAAATGAGGCCTAATCAAGGATATATAGAGTTGAACAACCTGAGGACTTCTATTATTTATACTTCTAGATATGAAGCCAAGAATTCTGTTAGCTTTATTGCGAACACTAATGCATTGTTGTCTTGGTTTTAGGTTACTGCTAACCAGAACTCCTGAATCCTTTTCGCAATCAGTAGTATTAAGATCTACATTATTTAGTTTATATGTCGCATGGTTATTTTCCTGTCCAACATTTAGAGCTTTGCATTTGTCAATATCAAACTGCATCTGCCACTTCTCCGACCATTGCTTCAGTCTATTCAAATCATCCTGGAGTGCTCTAGTGTCCTCTTTAGAATGAATTGGACAGCCTATTTTGGTATCATCAGCAAATTTGCTTATGTCGCTATTTATTCCCTCATCTATGTCGTTTATGTAAATTGTGAACAACAACGGGCCCAACACTGACCCCTGTGGAACACCGCTTGTGACGTGCCCCCATTCTGATTTCTCCCCATTTATGCAAACTCTCTGCTGTCTATTTGTCAGCCATGCCTCTACCCAGGAAAAAATTTCTCCTCCTATTCCGTGTGCCTTAAGTTTCCTCAATAGCCTCTGGTGTGGAACTCTATCGAAAGCCTTACTGAAGTCCATATACACAATATCATATTCATTACCATGATCTACCTCCTCAAACACCTTAGTGAAAAAAGTTAGTAAATTCGTAAGACAGGAACGCCCCTTTGTAAAACCGTGTTGAGATTCATTAATCAATCTGTGCCTGTCAAGATGGCTACGAATTGCTTCGACAATTATTGATTCCATAAATTTTCCCACTATGGAGGTAAGGCTTATTGGTCTATAGTTCGAAGCCAAGGGCCTGTCACCTGCCTTGTAAATAGGTATTACATTTGCCGTTTTCCACTTATCAGGCACTATGCCAGTTTGTATTCGTATTCGTATTTCAGACCAGAGTCTTTGGTAAGATGGGTAAGGAAGAAGGATGGGTAAGGAAGAAGGATGGGTAAGGAAGAAGGATGGGTAAAGAAGAAGGATGGGTAAGGATAAAAATATTGGAAAAGGGTGGGAGGGAGGAGTGAGGTAAGATATAAAAGGTAAGTGGCACAACCACTTTGGTGCAATTTAAAAAGTGTATGTGGAATAATAAAACATTCTTGAAGGGGTATAATACTAACCCATCAGAGTCACATAGATATAACAGATATATAAGTACATGACTCTGAATTGGTAGTATATATACAAGTTGCAATTGCCTTTTTTTTTTTTTTTTTTTTTTTTCGATTGCACAACGAGTATTTAAACTACAATCAAGGCAGTAATTTACTGAAGAGTTCATAAAGAATTACTTGACACGTTAGCTTCTTTCAAGGTGGTGTCCCGCCATAGTAAATGTAGTATAATTTTAACTGACTCAAGAAATCGTAATGACACGATTGCAAATAAACCATACCCCCGGCCGGGATTGAACCCGCGGTCATAGAGTCTCAAAACTCCAGCCCGTCGCGTTAGCCACTAGACCAGCTAGCCACAATAAGATTCATCCAACTAGTATATTTCTACACCATAGGAAAGTTAGCACAGGCACCTCTGTGACCACAAATGCAAGTTGGTGTAGAAATATACCTAGTTGGATGAATCTTATTGTGGCTAGCTGGTCTAGTGGCTAACGCGACGGGCTGGAGTTTTGAGACTCTATGACCGCGGGTTCAATCCCGGCCGGGGGTATGGTTTAGTATAATTTTAACAGTAGAATTGTTATACAAGATATCTCCCTAATCGGGGGCTATGATTTTCTTAGTAGACATAGAAGGGTTCTGGTGTTACCCAGTCATCTTCATCTGCAGGCAGGTTGCTCAAGATCATTGGTCGATGGTAATCGTCTTTATGGATGAAGCGACGCAGCCTCTGTGGGAGAGTCATTCTTTGGGTCTTCTGAGGAGGAGTATTAATGATATAGTCAGTGGTATTTTCAACTTGGAGAGAATGTTCTTTATCTGGCATGTAGAGTTCTTGCATTGCATAGAGTTGTTTCTTCTTTAGCGTATCAAGGCGTACATTCAAGGCGGTAATATTCTGTTGTACGTGTAAATCTGCCATTTTGACTCTGTCTCTCTTCCTGGTACCCGTAATAAAGCGGAGAGCTCTATTCTGGACCCGTTGCAACTTTAGCATGTTGGTCTTTGTTGTTAACGACATTGGGACACATGGGTATTCGAATATTGGTCTTATCATCATTTTATACAGATGTTTTTTGACATATGAAGGGGCTTGATTAAATCTAAAGAGACTGCTAAGACCCGCTTTGGCTATGTTGATATTTTTATTGACGTGAGATGTTGAGTGGAGCAGCCTGTCTATTTCATATCCCAGGATCTTGTTAGGATTTCTAATGGCTACAGGTGTACCTCTGATGGAGATACCTCCCTTATCTTCGATGGTTGATGCAAAACATCCTATCGTGCTAACCAGGACTTTGTCAGGGTTAGTCGTAATTCTCCATTTCATTTCCCAATTGGATGTTCGACGAAGTTCAATATTCATTTTTTCTATGACTCTTTCATATTTGTATTTTCCAGTGACAGGAGTTGACGAGACGACATGGATAACATCATCTGAAAATTGTGTTATAATTGTATCTTTAAACTCTGGTTGAGGAAGATCATTCACATAAATATTGAATAAAATTGGACTAAGACAAGAACCTTGTGGGACACCAGCTGTTGGAATAAAAGGCTCTGTTGACTTGCCATGAAAAGTAGGAATGATTTTCCTTTGAGTTAAGAAGTTATACATAAATCTGAGAAAGGTCCAGTTATGGTCTGGTAGGTCAATAAGTTTGTATATAAGACAATCATGCCATAAGCTATCAAAAGCTTTATGAACATCTCTGGTGGCAATTAGGGCAAGGTTCCCCTGATGTTTCAGACTTTCTACAGTATCAAAAATAACATTTATTGCATGGTTGGTACCTCTATGTGTTCTAAAGCCAAATTGTTTTTCAGTAAAAAGGTGATTAAACTCCATTAAACTGTTGGAAATTATTTTTTCAAGAATCTTCCCAGTGACTTCTAGTAAGGATATAGGTCTATAGTTTCCTGGTTGATGGATGTCTTTATTGGGTTTAGCAAGAAAGATCATCCTAGCAGTCTTAAAAACCACTGGAAAATGTCCCGAGGCTAAGATGACATTTTTTGATATTAACCAAAGACTGTTTACAATTTCTGGGTAGGAACTTTATTTGTTTCATTGTTATTCCAGAGAGACCAGGGGCTCTATTTCGCATTCT